GCTTGGGATCCGCTTCCTAGCAGACATTTTCTTTTTGATCCTTACTTTTGCCTAGGTCTCCCCCTTTTGTTTGTGGGTTTCCTAGCAGACCTTGCCATAATTTTTGTGTAGCCCGCTTTGATGGGTTTCCTGTCGAGCCTTCATTTTTGCAGTGTCTATTTGAGATGTGGGAATCCTTCTTTGTTTGATTTTATTATTCCCCAATCATGTCTAAATTGTCTGATTATTACTTTTTGTTACGTTTTTTCAATTTTAATGTATGACAGGCTATTGTTCGGATGATATCCCTATTCCGGAGACACTTTGTTTATTACGGTTTAAACGAGGCCTAAATTGAATGTTTAAATAGAGAAAAGAAGTGAATAGAAAAAGCACATGGCATTAAAAGAAACTTTTGATTTACACGTGCCCTTTAGTGTAGCTCGTGGGCTCGGGCATGCCCTGAGTTCGTGATTCACACAGGGATACGAAAAAAGATTGTCTCCTCAAAGAGACCTGGTTGGTTTGACTATCAAGATTGTCCCTCTACTTGCTTGGATAACAACACTTTGGAAGATCTCGTACATAGCAATAGTGTTTGGCTTCTCCTTTTTGAGGTCTATTTTTAATTCATACCCTAAACCTTGTCGTCGTAGATTGCCTATGTAGTCTTCAACTCTTTTATTCCTTGGAACTCTTTACCAAGCCCTTGTCCTGGTCGATAGCCATTTCTGAGCAAAATCTAAGTTGCTATATTATTTTTGCATGAGATTTTCTCAACATGGTCAATCTCCAGGGTTTAGGGTTGAGATCTTCTCAACATGGTCAATCTCCAATGCTTGGAAATTGTCTACAAGGCTTCCTCAACTGCGTCTATATATGGGATGGTCAATGGTTTACTAATAATCATGTCTTCCTCTGCTTGCACGACCATCAGCTTATCATCAACTACAAACTTGACCTTCTAGTGAAGCATGGAGGGTACTATCTTTGCCTGATGTATCCATGGCCTTCTAAGAAGATAGCAAACGGGAGCGATATCCATCACTTGGAATTCCACATTGGAAATGGTGGGCCCTACCTGGAGCGGTAAGGTGATTTCTCCCATCACTATAAGCAAATGACAATTTTGCGACAGTTATATGGCCTACATTGCGACAGTTAGAACTGTCACAAAGACACCATTGCGACGATTCACCAATTGTCGCAGAAATGTCCATCACGAGTGAATTTTGTGGCGGTTACTGGAATTGTTGCACAAACCGTCGCAAAATTGGAATTGTGACCCTTAAAGCACCCGACACACTAATTGCCTCTAATCTATGATGAATAAACCATTTTAATTAGAGCACTAATCTAGTCTCTAAATCAGTCGCTAAATATTTATTTTTTATTTTATTAAATTTTATAGTTGTCTCAAATTCGATCGCTATTCTTCTTAAGGATTCTATTTCACAATACTTCACTTTTTAACATGTTTTGTCCTTAGTTACAGAATATCTGGGGAACTTCCCAGAAGGTCACCCATACCTATATTTCTCCAAGTCAAGCACACTTAATTGTGGAGTTCTAATGAGATACACTACCGAAAAACAGATACATGTTGTCAGTATAAGTAGTATAAATTAATTCATTTAAGTCATTCTCAACTATACAATCTCACACTTATACTATCTTTAGATCCCTCTCATTCCGGTGTGTCCGAACTGTTATAAATATATAATAATTATATTACTAATAATAATTATATCATATTTAATTAATATTTATTTATATATATACTTACTTTTATAATTAACAATCTACTTATTTCTATTTAAAATTAATATTATGGTACAATTTCAATTATTTATTATAAATTTAAAAGTTTAAATAATAATTTATATATTAAATGTGAATTTTGTAAATTCAACCGTTGGATTGAAAGTTTATATCACTTTATATGTTTATATCAAATTTTGTTAAAATTGAACAACTTGAAGATAATCAAAGTATTCATATTTTAGTATATTTTGAAATGTATATATTACGTCAATTTTTTTTTACAAGAATGAAGTATAAAATCATCTTGAATTAATATAAAATTTTGTATATATGATTTAAGAGTAAAAAACTTTCAATCTAACGGTTGAATTTGTAAAATTCACATTTAATATAAAGTTATTGAGCGGTGTAATACTTAGTAAAAGTTACACCAGTGTTATTATAACCTTTCTCTTTTAAAATATTATTTTTATAAATTAAATTTTAACATTTTAAATAAATTATTAATTAACTTAATTTATTTATTCATCTTAAATCTAAGATATAAAATTTAAAAAATGTATTTATCCTTGTTTTATTTTCTAATTATCAACGATTAATAAAATACTAATTTAAAATCTTATCTAGTTATATCATAATATTTTTATATCAAATTTAAAAACAAATATTAGTTATACAAAAACATCAACATCATATAGTAAATAATCAATAAGATTCTAGTTAAATAATTTAAACTAATTAATTTTTTAACTATATTGTTTGCAAATAATTTATTCCAAAGCTAAACAATTTTTTCTATATTAATTATTAGTAAAATTTAATAACTTTTAATTTAATAATTGGATCGATAAAAAATTCAACTTACATCATGAGTTATTGAGTGGAGTAACTTTTTTAAAAGTTACTTTGTGAGTCATTTGATTCCTCCTCTCTCTCTCTCTCTATATATATATATTTAAAATTTTGTTGATAATCTTTTTTAATATATGATTGTCAATTTTTGTCAAAAATTCTTACATTTTCGACAAATATAAATTTGTCGGAAATATTCCATCAGTAATTTGATCGATTTTAGATTTGTTTGATAAATTCTTATTAATCCTTATATAAACCAATTATTTTTAAGATGATGGAACTAACATGTTTATATCAACTGAACTAGATGTTTAAGTCTAATTTTTATAACAAAAATTGAAATAAAATAATATTTACAAAAAAGAAGTTATTTTACCTTAATAAAATTGGAAAGCATAATAAATTGTGTATTTTCATATTATCTAATAAAATAAAATATGAAGTATGATAAAAGAGAAATAAATTTCTCAAGAGAAAAATAAATAAATATGATAGATAAGGATTTTAGTGGAAAAGGGAACCATACCGTGCATTGCGTTTTTCATTTGAGATGCTCCAAGCCCTAAACATGCGTGTGACTAAGAAAGAATGAGAAGAAGGAGTTGCGCGTAGGTGAGGAAGAATGAGAAGAAGGGGTGCATGGCTAAGAAAGAATGAGAAGAAAGGGTTGCACGTGGCTGAGAAAGAATGAGAAGAAGGGGTTGCATGTGTTGGGCATGGCTGAGGAAGAAGGGTTGCGCGCGACAATATTTCTATTTACGGCTGGATTAATTTTTCAATTTCACTCCTAACATACAAATTATAATATATATATATATATATATATATTAATATTATATTTTAATTTATTTTTTTTTGTGTGCTTACATTTTAATATTTTGAGTTTCTTCTTCTTTTTTAATTGAAATCTTTCAAAAAATTAATAACATTTTATAATTACTCTTGATTTTATAATTTTTAGTCACGATTTTGAAATTGTAGAAAGAAAAAAATAAATAATCGCGTATCTCATATTAAACAAAATATATAAAATTGTTAATAAAATATAAGTTTATTAAGATAATATAATACTTATATATATATATATATATGTATATATAATTTTTTTGATGATAATTGTGCATCTCATATTAAACAAAATATATATAAATTTTTTAATAAAATATAAGTTTATTAAGATAATATAATACTTCCAAAAGAAAAATATTACTTTTGGTCTAATCTACTACTAAATGTATTTTTAATCCTAAACTTTATCAAATTTCACCGTAACTTTTTAACAAAATAATACTTAGTTTGTACTAAAAATAACTTTTAAATTCTAATTAAATAGGGGTTATATATATATATGTGTGTGTGTGTGTGTATTATATTCAAACCTAGAAGTGATTTTTAAGTTATTATTTGTGAAAAGATAATTAATTTATCAAATATGTCATATTTAATTAACCATTAAAATAATAAATTTCATAAATTATTTATTATTTTTTCAATATTCTCGATTAAATCCACAATTAATATGTATTATTAATTTCACTAACACATAAAAAAATGTAACATATTTTTTATTTTATTTTTAGCTTTCTAGGATTAACATAAAACTTTTTTATTCTAAAATAATTTAAAAGATAGAGAAATAAAATTAATATAGTATATTAAAATATTTTTTCATTTTTAACATTTCTAAATATAATTACATGTCATTATGATTTTATTTTTCTATTTTTTTAATGAAAGTAAAATTATAGAATTTTGGAGTGTGCATAATTTTTTGTGAATTTTTATTTCAATTTTTGTCTTGTAGATTGCGACGATTTACTACAAACAACCTCAATATAGATAAATTTTGCGGCAATTATTTGACTCCGTCGCACGAACTGTCGCAATGTTGGAAAATTTTGCGAAGGTTGGAAGAAACTATCATATGAAGGGTCGCAATATCAAAGCGACGACGGTTTCAGGATAACTGTTACAATTTGTCCGTCGCAATTCATCATTTTGCTTGTAGTGCATTACTTCCCTTTGGGATCCATCGAAGGCTTGAACGATCATTTTGCTTGGTCACATGTGGGCTTCCTTGACCGTCAGCTTGTCAAGATTGATCTTAGGTAGCACATTCAAAGAAGCCCCGTTATCTACCAAAACTTTGGCAATGAGAAACTCCCACTACTCGAAAGTTACTATTTAACGTCATCAATTCTACATCGGTTTAGGTAAAACTGATGTAAAAATCAAATGCGGTGGCATTTTTGTAAATAAGTATATAATATAAAGCATATTTACATCTGTTATGACTGAGATCGATGTAAATATTGAGTGTTTTACATCATTTTTAGTGGGACCGAAGTAATATTGAATACGCGGTGACAATTTTGTAAATAATTATAAATATATCTACATCAGTTCACCCAATAACTGATGTAGTATTGAGAACCAAACCCTAAACCTGCGCAAGAGCCCTCTCCGCGAAGAACTCACTCTTCTCGCTTTGAGGACGCGCTATACGGCCTCTATTAGTGCCGCAGCGACCTTGCCATGCCGGATTGCACCACCTGCGTCGCGCGTGCCGTCACGCGTGCCGACGACATCTGCCACCAGACCTGCGACGGTGCCGTGCAGCTCGACAGAAGATTGCTAATTGAAGATTGCTCCAATGGAAGAAGCAAGTTCAATCTGCTCGTGCAAATCAAAACTGTCGCCGACACCTTCCACAGGCTCACCAGAGAACTCTCCACGCTCCTCGATGTTTTCCCTCTCCAAGAACTCCACCTAAACGATGACCTTCGGGAACTCGTTATCCTCCTGCAGAAACAGTGCTCTGAATCCATACCGTTCATCGAAGCTGAACAGATTTCTTGTGTAAGTTGTTGCTATCAGTATAAATACGAAGATATGTGCTGCAAGTGTTGTAAGATTTGACTTTCTTTTCTTTTATTGGATTTTCATTTTATGATCAGGTTGGTGTTGATAACATGTGCATAATCGTAGATGTTGTGAAACGGCAACCCTTAGGTTTATTAACTGAAGAAAAAATAAGCAATGCAATGGGTGAAGTTGGACCTTCAATAACACTGGCCAGCTTATCAGAGATTCTAGCATTTGTTGTAAGATCATTTGTTTCTATGCCAACATGCCGTGTTTTCTCCATGATTGTAGGTTAAAGAATTTTCTCCTCTCTCCCTGTATTTTGGACAAAAGGAATACCGAATTGACATCTTTGTATGCTGAATTGAAAATTTTAACCTATACATATAAAAAGAAGGGTAAAAATACAACTCCTTTAGAAAGTGATTTTACAATTTCTTAACTCGTGGATTTTCTTTTCTATAGCTTTGGCGGTTCTACTGGACTTCCTGCTACAGATTACTGCCTTTGTAGCTTTGGTTACATTAGACTTTAATGCTTCAACATGAAAGGACTTTCATGTAATGAAACATCAAACATGTTAAGGATATAATTCACTCTTAAGTATCCACCTTGTAAGTTGTAAATTAAACTTTTACTTTTAAATTGATGCTCAATAATTGTTTATATATCTAACATTTCCATTAAAGAATAATCATGAATTATTTTCAGCTTCTGTTGGTATTTTGTATTTTAAACTTTTTTCTCTCCTTGTTTATATATGGTTCTAATCATATCCTAATCAAAGTGTAGGCAATAGGCAGGAAAGAGATGGATTGCCGACACGATATATGAAGGTAAAGTCATATTTAGTTCACGGGTTGATCAAGTATAAACTAAAAAAAAAAATTATTGTAGTACCTATGTTCTATGAATTCAATTTTATTGTTTTCTTATTATATACGGTGATCATAGGCAGAAAATTCTGAAGATAATTGTACTTTGTTTGAGATTAGTTAAATAAATAGGGGAGAATGAGGATGGAATGGGCATTCAGTGAGTTGGAACATTTGCAAGTAAAAGAGAAATCCTTTGTGAAAGGGAAACTGTTGGAGAACTACTTTTCCTTGTTGTGTTTATTTTGAATAAATTGGTAAAGTTGTAGCTGAATTGGTGATGTTTCTATGTTTATTTATTTCACGATGACTAAATTCATAATCATGTGTTCATGTAGGTTAGGGTAAAAAATCTCAAACTTGTTGATTCCTAACTGGTTACTTTTATTTCTCTGTTCATGGTTTGCAACTTTGATTCATCCATTGTTTTATCTATGCATACATCCTAACTTACAATCTTAAAATTGTGTAGAAACAATATGCTGCTTTGGTGTGGATTTCTTGACCTCTAAAGGATGAAGATTTTCAATGTGTTTCTTCTCTCAAGGATTTGGTGAGCTTTTATGTTGTGTATTTCTTGTTATCAAACTTGTATTTTGTAAAAAAAGTTTAACATACAAAAGCATCTCTTGTGTTGTTGTTTGATCTTTTTTGCAAGTCTGCATAATTCGATTTAGGCTGAGTAGTTCTCAAAATTGTGTCTGTCTACTTTTGTAATGCATGTTGATTTTAATTCTGTCATTAAAGCCTGTGATTTATCCATGTATGTTATGACATGGCCCAAAAGAAATAGTAAGAATAGAGAGAGAAAAGAGAAAAAACATTCATCTCTGCCAAGGGAATGGATCCCTTCAATGAGAATTAAATAAGCATAATTTTGTGCAGTCTTTATCAATCCTTGTGTGTTCCACACAGGACTTTTCATCTTGCAGGTACCATAATTTCTCTCCTTAACTCCAATTTCACTATCTGCGAAACTACAACATAACTCCAAACCTCACCCAATTATTCATTGCCACTCCCACCTTAATTTAAATCGATTTATTTTAATGCTTCATTGTCATCATCTCAATGTTGTAAAGCAGCTTAGTTAAATCAATATAGGTGATTCCTTCACGGGTAAGGAAAAATAATATATGATTGACTTTTGGATGTGTGAAAAAGAAAAGCTAAATTTTTATTTGTTTCTGTGCATCACCGCAGCAAATGATAGGATGCATCAGCATCATTTTGTGTTTTAATTTATCTTAAAAAAATTATCTGGTGTAATGTCTATTTTAATACTATTTTTATTTATTGATGTGTCAAATTGTTTTTGTGTAATTTGTAAACAAATTTCTAAAGCTATATATATGTTCATTACAGGTAATCAGAAAAAATCTAAAAATAAGCATGATATTTTTTTTTTTTTAAAATGCAATCTACATTAGTTGTCTAGAGAACCGATGTAGATTTATGCTTAAATCGATGTAAAAATGTATACATTTTCTAAGTCGCTCTATTCTACATTGGTTTTAGAACCGATGTAGATGACTTTAGAGAATCGATGTAGAATATGTATCTTGTAGTAGTGTCCTTACACTTTACAAAAATAAGTAAGGGCTTGTTATGGTCTAATCGTTCATTCGATATCCATCATCTGTGAAGGTTAAGTGATGATTAGCTGTAATGTGGCTTATAATCCTTTCAAATTTGTCTTGGGAGATGTGGTGTGCGATGTAGGCTTCGCTCAAGACCTTCAGTAGAGCCTTTTGATGTGGCTTTGAACTTATGATCAGCAAAAGTAGTGTTGTTGGAGTGTTGTTAAGCTGATTGATGATGGAATACTCACTTTGTTGGAAAAACTTGTGGAGTTCATCTTCTTTGTCAAGTTCCTTTCTCCCCTCTTCTTTATCTTTTTCTTTGGAGGTTTTGTCTTGCGATTCCTTGGGAGTGTAGATTCGTCCGCTCCTAGTCATTATTCCTGCCTTGGTGATGTTTGATGAATCCATAATTGGTGAGCTTTGTACGTCATAGATCCAAGGTACTGCTTTGTCACTTTCATATGGGAAAGGATGGCAAATGGGCACTTGCGTTAACTGAATATTCATTAAATTTCGAGCCTTTAAAATCCACAAAGGGACAAGTAATTGCGGATTTTCTCGCGGATCACTCGAAAATAACTAAAGAAATCAATTACTTAACCATCAAACCTTGAGAATTATTTTTTGATGGCTCGAAACATGAACTAGGCACTGGGATAGGTCTGTTAATCATTTCCCCTGAAGGAATTCCAACTAAGTTGTCATTAAAAACAAACAGAGGATACTCGAATAATGAAACCGAATATCAAGTGCTCATTACTAGACTCGAGATCCTTAAAGAGTTAGGTGCTAAGAATGTGGTAATTCGAGGAGATTCACAACTCGTCATTAAACAACTAACTCAGGAATATAAGTGTTTGAATGAAAAACTAATCGAATTCAAAACTCGAGCTGTGCAATTACTAAACGCATTCGATGAGGTTGAATTACAACACGTTTCTCGACATGCGAATACAATTGCAAATGAATTGGCTCAGGTGGCATCGGGGTATAAAGTAAGTAAGGAATGTCTCGAATCTCTGATTCATACAGAAAATGAATTGATATGCCATCTAGAGAGTCTAAGTGTCAGCTCATCGAGTCAGCAAGATTGGAGGAAAGAATTGGTCAAGTACCTGCAAAATCCAAATTTGAAAGTGGAAAGAAAAATCAAACTCCAAGCCCTCAACTATGTCTTGCTAAATAATGAGTTATACAAAAGACGTTTCGATGGAATTCTGTTCAAATGCCTCGGGAGTCATGAAAAATACATAGCTATGGCAGAAGTACATGAAGGTATTTGTGGAGCACACCAAGCAGGTGAAAAGATGAAATGAACCTTGTCGAGAAAAGGTTTCTATTGGCCAACCATGATTAAAGACTGCATCGAATTTGCAAAGAGATGTGAGGAATGTTAGAGACATAGATCGATACAAAGGGTACCAGCAAGTGAATTACATTCGATTATTAAACCCTGGCCATTTTGAGGTTGGGCAATTGTTATAATAGCGCAAATTCATCCACCCTCCTCGAAAAATCATAAATATATATTAGTTTCCATAGATTATTTCACAAAATGGGTTGAGGCAATTCCTTTGAAAGAAGTCGAGAAAAAAGACATAATAGATTTTGTTGAAGATCACATCATAACAAGATTTGGAATTCCTCAAACAATTACTACTGATCAAGGCACAGTTTTTACAGGTCGAAAAGTTGCTCAATATGCTCAATCAAGGGGAATTAAGTTAATAACTTCGACACCGTATTATGCACAAGCAAATGGACAAGTAGAAGCTGCTAATAAAATAGTTATCAGTTTAATCAAGAAACATATCTCAAGCAAGCCTCAAAATTGGCACGAAACACTTGTCCAAGTGTTGTGGGCTTATAGAAATTCACCAAGAGATGCCACAAAAACTACCCCATACAAACTGGTGTATGGGCATGAGGCTATTCTTCCTATAGATATTAACTTACAATCGATTCATATACAAAAGTAGAATGACTTGCCTATTGAAGATTATTAGAATTTAATGTAAGACGAGTTAGTATCTTTAGAGGAAGAAAGGTTGATAGCATTACAAAATCTTATTCAACAAAAGGAAAGAATCTAGAAAACATACAATAAAAGAGTCAAAGTGCGCGGTTTTCGAGTTGGAGACTTAGTGTTAAAAGTGATTCTTCCCATGGATCAAAAGTCTCGACACTTAGGAAAGTAGTCTTATAATTGGGAAGGTCCCTTTATAATCGAATAGGTATACTCGAAAAATGCGTACGTGATTAAAGGAATAAATTCGAATGCAGCAAGCAAAGTAATTAATGGAAAATACTTAAAATGATTTCATAAAAGATCAAGTACTAAAGTATACATCCAACATAAAGAAAAAATCAAATCGAGGTTCGAGAATTTAATTATTACAAAACTTGGACTTAAAATCTTTAAAGGCATGATAAGCTTCATCCAAGTTCTGCCTTCGAGAGGCACATTGATTCTCCAAGTGTTTCTTTTGCTCCAAGGTCTTTACAAGCTTGGAAGAAATCACTTTGCCTTCCTCTTTGAGACTCTTTTGACATTGAATAATTTCTTGACTCTGAGTCTTTAAAGCGTCTTTTTTCGAGCGAATGTTATTCAACTCATGCTGCAGAGCCTCAATGGACTTTTCTATATCTCCTTCGTCTTGTTGTAGTTTCTTCAAGGCAGGAATCATTTCTTCAGTTGATTTCCTGATGGAGAGCAACTCCTGCCGAAGATTCTCGAGTTTGGCACGGTCTCCCTCACTCTCAACTTCAACTTGGGCCACTTCCTGAAATGTTGTAGACCATTTTGACCTAAGATCCCAAGCAAGGGTGAATGGCTTGATAAATTCTTGAAGCTCAAGATGGATCTCAAGAGGAAGATCCGAGTAAGCCAGCAAATCCTCCACCATCTGCTCGACCTCGATCTTAAATTCTAGAACGAGGAATGCCTGATCAAGGTCATTCACATAGGCCTTCGACCTGAAAGACTCGAGTAGAGATTGGAAAGTAGGAGTTGACTCAGAAACTTGTTCAGGAGCCTTTTCCGAGACAGAAGGACCACTCGTCCAGTTGTCAAGAACATCGAAAATGTTGTTGACTTCTTCATCTTCTTCATTGAAAAAATTGATTAAGTCCAAATCATTCGAATGGATCGAAGAAAGTGCTGGTGTTGAAGATTCGACCCCACCTTGGGTCGAAGGAGAAGGGGTAAAGGGCTTCAGAGATTCAGTGGAATCTGCATGGATAGAAAAGAAAGTAAGAAAAGTGTATTACAGTAAATTTCATATATTTTGGTCTTGTATTTTGGACCACATAGATTAGCATTTTTGGGCCATAGGCTTATTGGGCCTATTTTTGGGCTTCATGGGCCTTTGGGATTTTGGTACCCGATATTGGGCTCATTTTGTTTCTTTTATTATTTCTTAATATTTGTGATAGGTTGGCCATTGTATTTAGGCCCTTAGAATAGGAATATTGAAGGAATACTAAAATAAGCCAAGAAGCTAAAATCTAGGTTTCATTTAGTAGTCATTTGAGATGCATTTGGATCACATTTTTCTTGCCAAGCATGGCTGAACGCAATTTGTCCGTCGCAATTTATCATTTTTCTTGTAGTGGGACTAGGCATCTAAATTGTTATTTTGGGCACATTTTTCCCCTTGTCCTTTTGTGTGCTTACTAGTTTTAAGTGAAGCGGTTCGTGATTAAATGTATCAGGCTTGCATTTGATTACCAACGATTTCATTATCTGATTAATGTGCATAGGATAGATTTCCCCTTTTTATTCTTTGTTGTTAATTACAAGGAAGATGTATCATTCTAAATGAAATGCAAAATGTAGGAGGCAAGAACATTTGAGCAATTCAATAAATATCATTCTTATTGATTTTCTTGTTTAGCGATCATTCCTATACAAGAATTTTCAGTACACTTTGACAATATCATAGAAGTCTAAAGAAACTTATGTTTGGCTCATACATAGGCAAGTCATCTTCAGCTTTTAGAACATGTCTTCTCATTGCCTCCGCTTATTTGTGAACTACCTTGCTCATGTTGTCACAAATCGATTGTGCGTCTTTGGCCTTCTCTTGATGGTATCTCATCATCATTTTCAGCTCTTGAACTTCTTCTAAAGCTTGGTCTCTTTGGTGGGTGACTTCT